TCAATTTACCCCACAGTTAGTGTATTAGTTTCCTATTGCTGCAGTAACAAATTACCACAGACTTAGTAGCGTAAAGCAACACAAACTTCTCATCTTACGGTTTTGAAGGACAGACATCTGAAATAGGTTTTATGGTCTAAAATCGAGGGGTCATGAGGGTTGGGTGTCTTCTTCCCTTGCCCAGTGTCTAGAGGCTGTCTGCATTCTTTAGCTCACGGTCCTGTCCTTAATCTCCACCTCTGTCCTCACACTTCTCCTCCCTCTAACTTTAAACCTCTTGTGTCCCTCTTCCAAGAACTCTTGTGAGTACACTGAGCCTGCCCAGATACTCCATTATAAATGAGTTAACTTGATCCCAGTCCCACGGTCCTTTTCACTACGTGAGGGAGCAGTGCACAGGCTTCGAGATGGGGCACAGGCATCTTGGAGGGCCCATTACTCTCTCCACTACAGTGGGTCTTGTCACTGCCATTCTTAGCCCCATAAACAACTAATTCAATTAGGTTACAGTGTTCCTAGTTCATATTCCAGACAAAATAAGTAAATTGATTATATAAACGAAAGTCATCAAATTTATGATAAAGTAAAAGGTGAAAATATTGGAAAATTCAGATAACAAATTTAAGCCAATGATCTAGAAAAACAAAACCCTAAACTTTCTAAATATGGTTTGAAGGGGGCCATATTTAGGGGGCCAATACTGTCTGAAATATGGCTTAAACTCACATGATAAAAATAAAAGATTAAGAAGAGTTTCAAAGACCTCGGAGTTTATTGAATTCAATTCTCCATTAGTCAAATGAACACCACCTGTAGTAAAGTCATACAAAGTAGCAGGTCCCCAACACTCCCTCTGGTTTACCCCCCTGCCCTCCTTTCTGAATGTTGCTATAGTCACCTGAAAGACTTAGGTGACCGCTGAAATCTACACACACCAAAACTATGGCGAGGCAGAACATAACAACTCTAAAAAAATGAAAATCAGAAGAGAAATGATATGTCCAGAAATGAGGAATTATAAAGACCAAACGGAGTGGTCAAACACAAGTGATTGCATAAGATACCCAAAATATTCCTTCTAGACAAAAGAAGTTAAAAGAGGATCTTGTGAAAAGGGGCCTTCCCTATAGGTGTAATTGGGACTCAATCTAGAATAAAATGTACTTAACCATCTACACACCTAAAACTCCTGAAAATATTTTTTCTTCTTCCCCCAAGAATAAAAGTCTAATTTGAAAACCAGGGACTGTGTGAATAATATGTTATCTGGTAGGTTAAATGTATCAGGATTCCTTCCATTAAGGCAACGTGTTCACTAAAATACTGAGTTGTTAAACTTCAGGATCATACTGAGGACAACAGAAAGTTTTAAAAACATTTAGAGAAAGTGATGAAATTCTTTCTGTATGGTATATTTCTCTGCTTTGCTTTTTAAAATAAAGTGTGTCCTAGACTCACATGCAACTTGATCTGGGAGAGCCATTATGTGTCACTGAATGTATATGATTTAAGAACACTCCTGATTCAATGTCTATTTCAAGTGGTTACCTTGGTCTGAATATGTCTACAAAAATTCACTTCCTCACAGAGGAAACGACTGTGGACAGTTTCAGTGACCCTGCCTGCATTCATCTCCCTGCAGGATGTCCCTCTACCCGTTCCTAAGAACACATTCCTCAGGGTTAAGGCAGGAATTAACCCTGCCTAATGTGGCCTCATTATTTATAGGGTAAATATTCTAGAAATTGCAAGTGTGTTATGATTTTTTTAGGCTGACGTATATTTAAAGATATTATTTTTACACTCTGGTTCTAAGGTGTAAGATGAGCAAGCAGGTGGATTTAAAATGACAATTTAACATTTTAAAACAGTATGAACATTCCAACAGCCACCCTCATTGCCTAAAGATATTATTTTCAAATAAACAAAGGGAACTTCATCAAGTTAAAGAGCTTCTGCATGGCTAAAGAAAACATCAGCAACATGAAAATGGAACCAGCTTCAGGGTTAAAATATTATTGCCAATGGTACCTTGGATAAGGGTTTGATCTCCAAAATATATAAAGAACTCATATGACTCAACACCAGGAAGACAAACAATCCAATCAGAAAATGGGCAAAAAACCTGAACAGACACTTCTCCAAGGAGGACATACAGACAGCCCGGAGACACATGAAAGGATGCTCAGTATCGCTAGCTATCAGAGAGATGCTAATTAAAACCACAATGAGATACCATTTCACTCCAGTGAGAATGACCATCATTAACAAATCAACAAACAACAACTGTTGAAGAGGAGAAAAAGGAACCCTACTATACTGCTGTTGGGAATGCAGACTGGGGCAGCCACTATGCAAAACAGCATGGAATTTCCTCAAAAATCTAAAAATGGAACTGCCTTTTGACCCAGCAATTCCATTGCTGGGATTATACCTTGAGAATCCTTAAACACTAATTTAAAGGAACCTATGCACCACAATGTTCATAGCAGCATTATTTACAATAGCCAAGTTCTGGAAACAGCTTAAGTGCCCATCAGTAAATGAGTGGATCAAAAACCTATGGTAATTTACACAATGGGATACTATGCAGCAGAAAGAAAGAAGGAGCTCCTACCTTTTGTGACAGCATAGATGGAACTTGAGAGCATTATGCTAAATGATATGAAGAGGAGGTGAAAGACAAATACCATACAATCTCATCTATAAGTGAAAACTAATGAACAAAACAAAAAAGCAAGCAAAATAGAACCAAAGACATGGATATAAAAAACAAACTGTCAGTAACCAGGGGGAAGGGAAGAGGGTGAAAACAGGGGGAAGAAGTTAAGGAACAGGTATAAAGGACCCCCGGACAAAGACAACAGTGGGACCGGGGAAGAACTGAATATGAGAGGTAGGTGGTGGGCAGGGCAGGAGAGAGTAATGAGGGGATCATGGGGACAACTGAATTGAACAATAAAAGGAAAAAAAAGGCTGTTACTGTTTGTAACAAGCTTTGTTATGCCTTTTAGTATTTATTCATGAAAGTATTTGAGAAAAATTAATGGCAGGGCACGTTATTTTTTAGTTATTAGAAACAAAGTAGATAATTTTCAGTAAGAATTCTACTTCCTCTTCAGTAAAGAATTATCCTTCCCCAGATTAGGGAAGTTTTCTAATAGGTTCTCGATCCCTTGCTCCCTCTCTTCTCCTTCTGGTATTCCTCTGATGTGGATGTTGTTACACTTCATGTTGTCCAAATGTTTCCTGAGCTCTTCTCATTTTTTTTAAGTCTTTTTTCTTTCTGCTGCTCTGCCTGGGTGGTTTTTTCTACCTTGTTTTCCAAATCACTGATTTGATCTTCTGCTTCATCTAATCTACTGTTAATTCCTCCCAGTGTATTATTTATTTCAGATATTGCATTCTTTATTTCTGAGTGGTCCTCTTGTACTGTTTCTATATCTTTTTTTCATGCTGTTGAGTATCCTTATAATCATTACTCTAAACTCTTTATCTGATAAATTGCTTGCCTCCTTTTCATCTAGTTCTTCTGGAGAATTCTCTTGTTCTTTTATTTGGGGTCTGTTTCTTTGTCTTTCCATTTTGACTGCTTCTTTGTAGTTTTCATCTTAGATGTAAATCTAATCAGCTGTTAAAACTGATCAGTTGTTAATCTAGTCAATCTGTAATTAGCATCAAGGCTTAAGCACCACAAGGTGGGGCAGAGTAATTCCTGCATGTGTAGCTATTGCTTCCCCTCCGACTCATGCCACATGAAGTGGAGTGCGCTGCCTGAGAAAGATGGCCTCTATAGTATGGCAGATGCCTCAGCACAGGGATCCTGGTGGCTGTTCCTTCAGTTCCTTACCCAGAGCCACTAGCCCCAGACTCTCCTCAAGTGTCTCTAGTCCACTCTACCCTGCCTCTGCCAGAGATCAGGTGAGTGGCTACAAACAAGATTTTGTGCACTGAGCCTTTAATCTCTCTGGGTCTACAGCCATCTCTCCCTGGCAGACAATGCTGTTGCTTTTCACAGATGGATGTCATCTGGGTTCCTTTCTGGATCTGGTGCTGTAGGCTGGGGAGCCCAGCGTGGGGTTTAGACCCCACACTTCTCAGGTGAACCCCCAGCCACTGAAATATCCCTCTGGATCCTCAGGTGCCACCCGTGGGAGCCCAGCCAGCCCCGCAGCACTTCCTCCACACTCCCTACCAGCTTAGTTATGATGAAGTAGTTTCTTCTGTCGTGGTTATAAGGCTTCTCGCCAGCTAGTGTTCAGTTGGTTATTCAGGATCATTTCTCTACAATTTAGTTGTAATTCCAGATTGGTCCTGGGAGGAGGTTAGTGTAGCTTCCACTTACTCTTCCACTATTTTGGATCTCCCCTTTGTTAAGGCTGATTTACGTTTTTCCATCTTTAGCCAATGAACCTAGGAACTAAATATTTGTTTGAAACTACCAATTTCTGGGGATTTCTGGGAAACAGTTTGCCTTTACTGGGTCACAAACATTTTACATTTATATTAAGTCATCCTACTGTAATATATTTATGAATGTGTAAGAATAAAATTATATTGAGATTCATTGCAATAACAATATATATGTAAGATAGATCCATAGACAAATAGACAGACAGATACAGAAAGCATCAAATCTATACCATGGAAAAAATAGGAAAACCACGGAACCCCTGAGAAGTAACAAATTATGAAAGGGTCTCTTAAAAAGCAGCATATATATGAGGTCTCCTTTGCTTACATATTTAAATGTTGACTGATTTTGAAACACCCAAGATCTTCTAAGCATGGGCAAATACTAGTTTTAGTTAAAATTTTCCTGTCCAGTGTCATCTGAACCTCATTCTCCAAAAAGAAAAAGAGGAGATTCTTTAGTTACCTAACTTACACAAAGTCCCCCACCCTGACCCTAACTATCAGCCAATTGTGTTAAGATAGGCAACACACACATTCTCATAAGTACTGGCTAAATAAAAAACCTTAAGAGAAAACTATCTTACCACTTGCGCTGGAACTTGTTTCATTTTTGCAGCAGGCGTGCCTGGTCTTGGGTAAAACTGGTTAATAAACAGGCTTGGAAATTTGTACTCTTCAACAAGTTTCACTGTTTCTTGAAAATCTTGATCTGTCTCTCCAGGAAAACCACAGATAATATCTGTAGCAATAGTTATTCCAGGAACTCTAAAAAATAATGAGACAAAAATTTAAAAACTTGACTCCAATCCATAATTATTCTGTTTTCCTAAAATTTTAAATACCATTATTCCTTTTAAAATGTAATTTAGTTTTAGGAAAAGGATGTTTGTAGAGTTTTAAAGAGCCCTAAATACTAAGAGTTTATGAAAAACAGTGGACCTCTGTCATCCTCAAGAAATACCCATTTTTAATTTTTTTAGATGTCTTTGATCTTTTTTATTTTAAGATACTTAATCTTTTATTTCTAGATTTACTGATTTTTAGGCAATGTTTACTGACTTCTCTATTATGGTAAATGAGGATCTAGCTCTTTAAACTACCATATCCCTCCCTTCACTACATAATCACTGCACAAATTTTAGTAAATTAATAGTATTTCCATTGGTATAACTATAAAGATGTTGTTCATTGCAGAGCCAACTGGTATACTATCATTAAGTTTCTTTTTCACAATGTTGAATTTTTCAGAGTTAATAATTGCCTCTTTTGAAAATTTTTGTCGTAATATTCTATGTATCTGTGCTATTGTTTTCCAGATACTCTATCAGGTCTATCAAGTTGATACTATCTTCTCAGCAGTCAATATATTATATCACTGACCGGTTTCATCCCTCCCCACCCTCTAGGAATGCCATTCTTCCTTTCTTCAAGTGTATGTTGCTTTCGTACTGAACCAGCTGTAAAACTGGAATGTTACTCCTTGGTCTACTTTTTTCAGTCCTGCTTTTCCTGGATCCTACATCTTCCCCATCCTTGAATTTTCTATACTCTGTAATTCTTCTGGGGCATTATTTCACAAGTGTCATCAAAAAGAGTGCTTACAAAATTTTGTTGTGATTGTCTTAGCATCTCTGAACTCTCAAGTCATGACTGATAGTGGTAACACTCCAGAATGAAAAGTAGTAGCCATCAGAGTTTCATATTGTTCAATTTTTTCCTAGGCTGGCAAGGCTGACGAGATGTGAGATTTACTCTGAGACTCACTTCTCTATGTGTGCCCCACTTCTCTTTTTGAAAGCTTTTAGGATATTAAATTTATCCTCAATGATTTCAAACATTATGATAATAGGCCTTGCACGGGTATTTAAAATTTTTTGTATAGGGTACAATCTGGAGATTCTTGTTTTTTAGGGTTAGGAAATTTTATGTTCTTTTTTAAGTGATATTTCTCCAGGGTGCCTCTCCTTCAAACAGTGACTCTAAGAATTGCTACATTACTACAGAATTGATTCTAAGTTTTTCCACTGTTATTTCCCATCTCTGTCCTTTTGTTATGTTTTATGGAAGATATACTTGAGTTTACCTTCCAACTCTACTATTGAAAACTTTGATTGAATACTTTATTTTTAAATGTTCTCATTCTCTCATTTTCCTTTTCATAGCATACTGATTTTACTTTAGAGATGCAACATTTTTTCTTATTTCTGAGGATATCAATAAAAATTTCCCCCTGCTCAATGCAATTGTGCCTATTTCCTCCAGGTTCTGTTATTTTGATTCCTCTCATTCATGGTTGAGACTTTCCATCAATAAAAAGCGATTCTTTCTTTATTGTTTAAAAGTAAAGCACTAAATGCTTTTCATTACAGAGTGACTGGGTAACAAGCTGCCTACGTTTCTGATAGGTCCAAATGTTAGCATCTTGGAAATCATTCCTCTGTGGCCATTGAATTTCTCAAGTATGCTACAACAGCCAATTGTATATTAACAGCATAAGAACAACAACACAACATCAGCAGAATTGAAAATTCCAATATTATTCTGAATCCACAAACAACAGCAAAAATAGCCTCAAACATTTCAAGTCGTAGACTACCTCCCTGTATGATTTTTCTATCACCTAAATGCAGTTCTACAGGAATGAATTGGACAGTTTATCTCATGAAGATATATTAAATATTTGGGGGCATAAGAAAGAGTAAAAGGATGTAATAATGAGAAAAATCAAATTACAAAATGCTTAATACAAACTGCTTCATTAAAACAACAGCTTTCCTTACCTAGTTTGCATAATCCTTTAATGACTGTGTGAAAGAAGATTGACAAATTTCTTTTTTAAAGTACTTCTTTCTTAATTTCTACTTAGTCTCATCTAGCTATTAATTTGACTGAACTTTAATCAGTGAGGTAAATTACAAAGACAGAACTTTTCTGTGATGATAAATTGAAAAGAAAAAAGACCATGTGCACAGGGAAAAATAAAACAGTATATTTGAAAAACAATTTTTATTGATATAAAAATATTTTTTCATCTTTAAGGGTGATTGTCAAAATATTTGAAAATCATAAAATATATGCTTTTACATTAAGCTATAGAAAATAAGGCCATTTTCTATACTTACGAAAGCACGTGAAATAGAAAGTTATATCAACAACTTCAATTAGTTAATTTTTATACTTGACTTATAACTACTAAACAAAAGAAATACACAACAGAAAATAAAAGTCATGGATCACAGCAGAAATGACAAGAGAAGAGTCTATCTCCCTTAGGAAATTTTAAAAAATCTTAGAAACTGCCAGTGATATACTGCAGAAACAAAGACAATTGATTATTGTCCTAGTCTGTGAATTAGAATGAAATTGGCACTAGATTATAGGGTATTCCCAAAGGAAAGTACCTTACTGATTTCTTCCCACCCCAACCCTTAACGATCCAGTACAGTTTAGCTCAGTATTATGCAACACCTGCTGACTTTGGCTTTAAGGTCCACAGTATAAAGGAAAATACAAACCTTTACACTAGTCATAATAAATGTGAAGGAAGGAAATATTCAATGCATGGGTATATTTGATAATCTACACAAAAAGTTGACTGATAACAAGGGAGGGAGTAGGCTACTATGAATCAGTGAAAGACCTATGCTAGTCAGAATTTAAAAGTAAAAGCAGTTTAATTGGTTTCCAAGTATTTAAGAATATTAACTGATTGCCTATAACTATAACATGTTTTCAAAGTAGAGACTGCACTTTAACGTTAGATGAGGCTCATCTACACATTAACTTTATATATGCAAATGATGCTACTTATGTTCTTAAAAATAATTCAGCTCCTTAAGTGAACCAACAACAACAAACTTCCTCATATTTACAGTGCTAATTAATTAATTATTTACTTCTAGAGAGAGGGGAAGGGAAGGAGACAGTCAGGGAGAGAAACATCAGTGTGTGGTCGCTGCTTGTGTTCCCCCTACTGAAGACCTGGCTCACAACCCAGGCATGTGCCCTGACGGGGAATCAAACGGGTCACCCTGTGGGTTGCAGGCTGGTTGGTGCTCAGTCCACTGAGTCACATGAGCCAGGGCTACAGTGTTAATTTGCTTAGTAAATAATTCTCTTCAGTACGTGAGAAAATCAGAGAAGTTTGAAGTGGACCAAATTCTAAATTACCTTATGATTTAAGTGGCTATGAAGAAATTATATGGGGTATAAAATACAATAATATTACAAATATTTAATATGCTAATTATGGTGTTTTGAGAAGCTAAGCATTTTCAAAATACTAAAATTAAAAAATCATTTCCATGAATTTATTAAAGCTGTGAGTCTAATGAATATAATTACTAGCCCTTATGTGCTTTTAAAAGACTTTCTATACTAATATTTTTATAGCAGTATTAGACAATAACTCTGAAAGATGAATGTAGACATGTTTGATTAGATTAAAAACAGACATTTTGGCCTGTTATTCCTTCTGACTTATACAAACTATTTAGTGGCAAAATGGGTTCATTAAATTACTTGGAAATAGAACTAAACAGATTCCAACTTTGCATCTGCCCTGCCAGAAGCAGCGGTGCGATGAGTTGAAGTCTCTCAGGACCTGTGAGGAGAGCACTACCTATCTGCTGGCCCTGGACCAGGATTTAAGAACGTCTCCAACATTTTAAGTCTTACTTATTTGCCTTGAATAAAAATATACACATACATATATCCCATACAATATTTGAAATACTATTAAAATGTGTACTTTAATTCATCTCAAGGTTTTCAGTTGAAATTTGGTCTCATACTGAAAAAAAAAAAACAGGAAAAAGTTTGATTGTAGTTCATTATTTAGATCAATAAATTATTAGCTGCAAGTTGCACATGTGGAAAAACTACAACTAATACATATGCTATTATCTGAAATGAATAATATATAAACAATCAGAAAAAGAATTAGACCTATTAAAATTATTAGGTATAAACTAAACACATGATTGAAAGAAATATATTTTAGTCCTATGGAGATGAATTCCAAGACAATTACTCAATAATTTCAAGAAAAGAAAACTGGAGGTAGGCAGGGGAAAAATATTTTGAACTGAATGGAAATTAGTATACCTAAATATATGGGAAGCAGGTAAAGTAGTGCTTTAAAAAATTATAGATTTAAATGTCCGTGTGAGAAAGAATTCAACACAATAATCTAAAATTCTACTACAGGAAGCTAATAAAGAGGAACAAATCAAAACCAAAATAAGACACAGAAAGAAAATAATTAAGGTACAAGAAATCAATAAAATAGAAAATAGAGAAAAATCAGTAAGGTGCATCTTTGGAAATAAAAACAACAAAATTACTAAATTACTAGCTAAACTGAGAAGAAAAAGAAGACACAAATGACCAACTTCAGGCACAAAGGAGACAGCACTACAGATGGGATCAACATTAAAAGGACACTACAGCAAATCAACCCTAAAGGAAAGGGTTTATTTCTGGCTCTCTATTCCGTTCTACTGATCTATGCAACCACTTTCATGCCAGTACCATATTGTTTTGATTGCTACAGCTTTGTAGCACAGTTTGAAATCACCGAGGGTGATACCTCCAACTTTGTTCTTCTTTTTCAAGATTGCTTTGATTAGTCAGGGTCCTTTGTGGTTCTGTAGAAATTTTAGAATTCTTTGTTCCAGTTCTGTGAAAAAAATGCCATTGATATTTGGATGGGGATTGTACTGAATCTGTAGATTGCTTTGGGGATTATGAACATCTTAACAATA